CTCTGTGCATAGTCACAAAGCTTTGGAGATACATTGCTATTCTAAGTCTTTGTTTTCCCAAAATGTTTGTGATTATTATTCTGCTCATATACTGCAATAATTTTATCACTGCAAAAACTTGTGCCCAAGAGTTCTCGATCACAGGTCCACCTGAATTACGCAATCTTAAGTCAAGTTAATTATCACATGTGAACTAAAAATAAAAAAATTAAATAAATAAAATGATGTGGTATAAGCAAAATAAATGTCAATCCTTGATCCGATTTATTTATTTGTATAAGCAATTTGCACAGGTCAACCTAAATAAATTATTTTAAATGCAGTAACTGTGCAATGATGGTTAAAAGTGCAATCATTAGTTACTGAAAACAATAAGATGTTTAATATTTTATATGTGGCTATAAATTACATGGCTAAAGTTCTTCTTGTTAGATGTCAAAGCTGTGCATGCATCATTTCAAATAGGGAAATTTAACCCCTCATTCAATAAAAATTGAGCTGGAGATTCAATTGTCCTGTGAAATTATCTTGCAAGTATTGTAGGTTCACTCGTTTTAATGATACATATATATATATATATATATCACACACACACACGCCACAGTATACATACAGTGTTCTGCAAATACATGAATGTTTATATCAATATTTTAAAAGAAGAGCTAGCCGGCTATAACTTGGAAGTATTTTTATATCCCATGTTTAGTTAGTAGTTGACTACACCATTTTGTCCTTGTTCTTCTAGTACAAAAAATATATATATACATGAACCATGTGTAATCTGTTTTTTAACATTTCTTTGTATTTTTGTTGTCTTGTCTCTTGTTAGGCATTCTTCACATGGGCAATGGTGAGAATGTCTTCATCTCCCAGCAGCCCCCTGTTATTGGCAGTGTGATGGGGAACGGGCGCAGGCGCAGCATTTCCTGCCCCAGCTGTAATGGCCTTGCTGACGGCAACAAGCTCATGGCCCCCGTGGCCCTAGCTTGTGGCTCTGATGGAAGTCTTTACGTGGGCGACTTCAACTACGTGAGGAGGATTTTTACCACGGGGAACGTCACCAGTGTCCTGGAGCTTAGGTAACAGAGGAGTAGCCTACTAACATCCGCTGAGGACCATGAGCAGCTCAAATGGGCTTAAACACAGGCTGTAAACCACCAGGGCAATTGAGACAGACAGAAATGCCCTAAAGGCAGAGGATTGATGGTGCTGCCTCTCTCTCATTCACCTAAATCAGCTGGAGTCTGGTCCTTAGAGACAGAGGAGGACATGATAACCTCTTAATGGAGGACTTCCTTTAAAAAAAAGATTACTATAATGTCTTTGTTTAGAAATTCACAGAGATAATTTTGTAGATCTGTATTTTTTTCATGATTTTTGTTTGTAATATTCTTTTCACTTCATTAGAAATTCTGTCAACTAACAACTAACATTTGTTCTCCTTTCTGTTCCCTCATTTCTGCTGCTTTTTTACAAACTTTGAAAGAAATAAAGACTTCAGGCATAGGTAAGCCAATTAAATAATTGTTGAAGGTAATCTGTAGTCTACATATTTTTCTCTGCCCACAAATTGTGTCGCTGGACAAAAAAGACGTGCAGAATCTAAAAACAGGTTTGTTGCTAAAGGCTAATATGCAGAGAATCGGTGCAGAATCTTCATAAAATTCAAAACCCGCTTGGATGAAATGAAATGGTTTAATCATTAAGAATGTGCTTTCTGTGAACAACTCTTCTTCTTGTGCCATTCCTGCTACACGTTTTCATTCAGTGGGGACACCTACAGTTTAAAAGGATAACTGCACTTTTGAAGCACTGATCAAAACAGCAGCTCATTCATGCATTCAACCTTTATTTATGCAGGTTAGTCTCATTGAGCCTCGAGGACTCATTTACAAGAGAGGCCTGCAATGATGTCTGGATGTCACGTTTCACACGAACCATCAGTTTGTAATCTTAAACGCAAGTGTGTTCTGTTTTAAATAAATGTGAGACAGAGACTCTTTCAGCACATAGCTGTAGAATCTGCAGCAGTGATGGGAACATCCTGAAGGCTAATTTCACCAAAATATGGGACAGGCTTTACTTGTTTATTTATTTATTTATTTAGTTTACATGACAGATTCATTTGAATCCCTTAATGGCGTTTTATCCTTGCGGCACAAGGTATCCTTACATTCCTTAAAAATATTTTGCCCCCCCAACTCCCAATTTAATGAAGCTTTTTTATATTTAGATGAGCCATTTTGTTAAAGGTACTCATTGTAAACTAAGCTATATCAAATGGTGCAGTTTGAAACAATTTACTCAAATAGTTTTCTAAATACACTGATATGCAATACTAAAATGTGAGTTAACACAAAATAAAAATTAAGGACTTGGCCAAATCCACCACATAGAATCGTGAGTTGTGTGAGTGACCTACATTAAGCTGTCCATAGTTTGTGCAGGTAATCAAATATGGCAGAATTGGACAAGAGTTGAATCTTGTAAAAAAAACATCTGAAGGCAAAAATAGAGGAATTCTGCTGCTAAACATGGAGGGGCTGAAACAGAAGGACCGGGTGAGACATCTGTCAAGAATAAATATTGGGGCTCCAGCAAGGCAGTGGAGCACCATAAAGACAAAGCTCAGCATTCAAGCATACTGTATGCAAGTAATGTGAAACTTCTGCTTAACCGATAAACCCACTGTTGTCGTGTTGTTTGAACTCTAGTCTGGCACTGAAATACGTAACAAATGTAAAATAAAATGTTGGACTTCTTGTCCTAAAACAGCTTCTCATTTTGCTGTCACGGTAGTTCAACAAGTACACATTGTAGTTGAAATTTTACTAACAAATCTTTAATTTAAGAAGTTAACCACTGATCTGACAAAAAAAAAAAAAAGTTCAGATTTAGTTAGGATTTTGATTTGATTTATGGCTTTGTATTGTATACATAAAAGGATTTTAAGCATTTTAAAATATACGTATTTATATTCAATTCAATTCAGTTTATTTATATAGCATCAAGTCACAACAGAAGTCATCTCAGGGCACTGAACGGAAACATTCATAAACATAAAAAGTAAGTAAATAACTATTTATCTGAGGAGCAGACTGCTTTGAGTTTAACTCCATCACAGAACTCTCATCTTGAGCAAGCATGAAGGCGACAGTGGAGAGGAAAAACTCCCTCATGAGGAAGAAACCTTTAACAGAACCAGACTCAGGACATGTGGACATCTGCTTCAACCATCTGGGTTTGGTAGGAATAGATACACAATGGCAGCTCAAGAATCACATGTTAAGATAGAAATAGTATAAAATTAAAATTATTCAATTTTAACACTTAATTTTAAGAAATGCAGTCAATTTGTCTTCAAGTAGTCTAAGCCTATGGCAGCATAAAAAGCCAACTCTAACTATAGGATTTATCAACAAGGAAAGTCTTAAGCCCAGTCTTAAAACTGGACAATGTGTCAGCCTCACGGACATGATCTGGAAGTTGGTTCCACAAGAGAGGAGCCTGATAACTGAAAGATCTTCCTCTCATTCTGCTCTTGGAAACTCTAGGAACCGCAAGTAAGCCTGCAGTCTGAGAGCCAAGTGCTCTGTTGGGAAAACATGGGAACAATAAGATGTGTAATGTAAGATGGAGCTAGGTTGTTGATTGCTTTGTAGGTTAGAAGTAAGATTTTGAATTCTCTTCTGAATTTGTCAGGAAGCCATTGTAGAGAAACTGATATTTTGATACAGTCAAACATAACTAAAATTCAGGAGAGCAAATGTAATTTATTTACTTTGTTTCCACTCTGCTTTTTAACAGTTTTGCTAAAGTAATTAAGTAGTCATTGGGATACACAAATAAAATACATTGGGATCATCACTCCTACAGGTATATAGTCACTCAAACTGTATAATTAAACTTGGTTAAAACTCTTAAGAATTCTTTCAGTGAGCTTAATAAAATTACAACATACAGATTTTATCGGTTCTTTAAAGTACTGGAATCTAATTTTCCAAGGCAGCAGGCAACAAGGGAAATCTCAGTGCGTCCTCTTTAGATACCATGTTTCAGGTGAAGGACTATCGATTGGTTTTCTGTCTAAGCAGCCTTGACTTAAGCTGAGGAACACATAGTCAAACTGAGGATGAAAAGCTTTGTGATGCTAAAACAAAGACCACTTCAGCAAAGTTTTCATAAACTCCCTTTTCTATTATTCTGTCTCTGTATTTTTCTTTGTTTTTGGTCTTTATGTCTAAAATTCCTTTATGAAAATGTACAGTGCTAGTATAAAACAGCCCACTGATCTCAAACCCATAAACTATGTTGGCTGAAAGCTAAAGACACGAGAAATCAGTCCCATCAGTCTCTGTGCTTCAAACACATTTGCATTTTAAAAAGGAGATCCATCCAAGAAAACGCAGCATGTGTCTGTCTAAAATGGGTGACTGCCTCCTGTTCATGTGTTAGGGAGCGATAGGAGTGGGAGGTGGGTGATCTCACTGCAATGCTCATTGACCCCCTGCTAAGGATGTCCCCATCCGCTGCAACCATTTCCACGACAGCATGCAGCAAAATCCAATTATCTTCTACAAACTAGATGTTGTCAGTGAATATAGATGGCATATGCAACCATTGCTCAAGGTCAGGTAATAACACCCCACAGTTTCAAATACTAGGCGGGGGGCCAGACCAACGCCATTTTACATGCAAACCGGAGCTGATAAGGTATCAACTGATTGCATATGGAAGATAGAAGGCAAATCTGAATCCACTTATTGAGATTTACTACTGACCTTCAGTACTGTAAGAAAACTATATTCTCCATGCCAGCTCATTGTACCTGGAAAGTGCCGTAAAGCAGCGCATCAGTCAACGTAGTCGGTGGGCTGATTGTGACATATGGCCTGGGGTTTGCTGCAGCGCCCTGTCACCACTGATTCACTGAAGGTCAATTGTCATTTAATATTATGTACTCAAGATATGACAACTCTGCAGACCCACTTGCTTTTTCTTTTGTAGTTCGAAAACAGGCTGCTGGCTCTGTAATTCTGACCGTAAGACCTTAGAAGAACCCTCAAGGTTAGAGTTGAAACACTGTCTTAATCCATTTTGAATGACGCCCTGCTGACAGGTTTTTCCATAAAGCTTATTGGATCTGGCAGAACTGTGCCATATTCTGTCCTGATTACTGCAGACATGTGTAATGTGTGCATAATCACTAAAATAGTTGTTCATTTCCCTTTTTTTTACTAGTCTCACAGGCAAACATGCTTAGTTTAAAGTGACAAAATTCAAGAAAAGATAGAAGCATAAAGTATTTAACACTGGAGAAAAAGCATTTTCTGTGAATACGGAACGTGATTGAGTGCTGAAGCTAAGTTGCTAAAGCTACAAGAACCAAAAGCTACTTCCAGTACAGCACTAACTAAAAGCGGCAAAATTCTAGCTAAAAGTTGCAAAAACTAGCTAAAAATGGCAAAAATCCAGTTTATTTCATTCAAAGGCTAGTTAAAAGCTAAATGTAGCAAAATGGTAGGTAGATGCTGAAATTTGCAAAAAGGCTAGTTTAAAATTCATAGCTAAAAGCAGCCAAGTGCGAGCTAAAAGTTAAGTGTAGTAAAATACCATCTAAATGTGAAAGTATCAAAATGATATCTAAAAGCTAAAAGTAGCACAGTAGCTAAAGGCTAAAAGTAGCAAAAGGCTAACTAAAAATTAAAAGTAGCATAATAAGACAAAATAGATGCTGAAGCAATGTTCAAAGATATTTTTTAAGTGTTTTTAAATAAATGAAGAGATCTCAATGTATTTCAATCAGGAAATGTTTGTAAACAAAGTGCGTTACAAAATAAAATCACAGTCGTACGGCTAAACCTAAACTAGCCCAAAGTATGCTGAAATAATTACCGATAGATTCCAAAAAGAAAAAGAAAAAAAAAAACGTTTACACAATTGTTCAACATTCATAGCATCATTTAGGTAGAGAAAACAAAACATTTGTTTTATTTATATGAAAGCATATATCGGCCTTTAAAGCCACTTTCATGCTAACGTCAGTCGTGTCTGGAGAGCCGAACATCCAGTGGTGTAGACAGATGTGTTGAAGTTTGAACATATCATCCTTTGATTTTTCAGTCGCTCGTGTTTATCATAAGCTGCAGTAGATTTAACAAACAAATAGTCTTATCTGTCACTTCTTTTGTACTTCTGTTGACTCATCCACTGCTCTCTTTTGTTTTCTTTGTTTTCTGATATCTATCTTGCCTTGAACATACAGACAGACTTTAGGCAATCGTTGGATCAGCCTTATTAGATGTGTTTGTTTCTGCTGTCTGTCTGTCAGGTTGGGAACGCTCGTTTTTCTGTGAAGGATTACTTTGGTGTTTTAGTTTGGAATTAAACTGGATATTTTCCTGTGTTAGGATATCCGCCTGACGGAATCAAAACATGTATGGATTTCTGGTTTTATAGTAATGTATCTGCTTTTCCTTACATAGAAAACAGTAACAAGTTTAAAAAGTTAAATTTGTATTCCTAGCAGGTACCATGGTGATGAAATTTTACAATTTTTTTGATTTTCAAATGATCTCACATAAATTACATAATCAACTATTGGGATAAAATTGGGATTTCCATCAAATGCACCTGGGTACTCCCAAAAACTCAGATCTCTCTTTGTTTTTCTAAGTCAGTATTATCGTGGTTCCAGTCATTTCAAAGAAACAATGACTTACAGACATATTTTTAGATAAGTGGCCTTTTTTGTCTCATTTGGCTACAGGGATTTCTAATTGAGCCCACTGTGTTGTACGGTAGATGGCTCTAAGCTCCACCATCACGTCATGTTTTGTCATGTTTAATCTCATTCTATTTTTCTCTTTCCATATCCTGTGTTTAAACTTTAATTGTGCCCAGTTCAGTCTCTAAATGGCTTTTGAATCCAGTTGTATTAGCCAGTGTTGAAAGCGCTGCAGCCCTACTAGCTGTACTGACTTGCATTTCCTCCTCTCCTTTCTTTTACTCAGCAACAGCCCGGCTCATAAGTACTACCTGGCCACCAGTTCGGTGAACAGTGCCGTGTACCTGTCAGACACAAGCAGCAGGAAGGTGTTCAAGGTGAAATCCCTGAACGTTGTCAAGGATGTGGCAAAAAATCTGGAGCTGGTGGCAGGAACTGGTGACCAGTGTCTCCCATACGACGACGCTCGCTGTGGCGATGGAGGAAAGGCAGTTGAAGCCACTCTTACTAATCCCAGAGGTAAGGTATGGCTTTGGGTTCAAGGCAGGGATGGCCAACAGGTGGTCTTAGACCCAAATCTCTTCCTAAATTTCAGCAGAATTAAATATCTTAAATATAGTAGGGTTGTTGTTATTGTTTTTAATTTGTCAACTTTTTCCTGGTAATGCGGCACAGATTTTCCAGCATCTATGGTAACTCATTTTACACAGTATAGCTTTTCTATGGTTTACCATAATTCCCAAAGTCTTGTCTGTGATTTCTCTATGCTGCCAGCCCACAGAGAGGTACACCCTGAAATGATATGGTGGGTGAAAAAAAAACAAAAAAAAAAAACAGAATGACTGTCACAATATATTTTTTTAAATATACAGTACATTCTGGATGTTTGCTAGCGAAAACTTTCCGACCTCATTGAATTTAAATAAAAGAAAGCTGGTTGGAATTCAGAAGGCAGGATTTTGGATCAGTTTTGTTTTATTTTTGATCAAACAAAACAATATAAGGACAATTCTAGAGGAAAAATGAAAATATGCATATAAAACTTTAATCCATTCGCTCTGTATTTAACTGCATTATAGCATTTTGTCATGGTTAATGTTAAATACCATAACTGTGGCAGTTACCTTGAACTTGGTTCACTCCAAAAGGTAATCAGGTATAGATCTACTTTAATAATTACTTTCTAAGAGTCACATAAAAATTGTCAACTGTATCATGACATATTTTGCTAACAGACAAACAAGGTTTATTCCAACAGTTAATGCTAAAGTTTTAGGCAAAAATGTGCCATGCATTGTGCTTAGTATATGTGTTGTGAGTTATTTTCAGCTATCAACCATACAAATTTCAGATGAATATGTAAAACTGACAGAGGCATAGCCATTTTTGTGTTTTCTAAGATCAGCGGTTATGGCATCAGTTTTAAATTGGGTTAATTCCAAAAGTTAATTACCGTACTTGCCGCCGTATTGGTCGCACTGCTGTATAAGTTGCATCAGTCCAAATATGTCTAGAAAAGTGGGGGGAAAAACACAAATACGCCGTTCGCGTCACCGCTGACCACCTGGAAACATGGGCCGGTGTTGTGCCAAAAAGTCGAATTGCTGCCATTGGCGGCTGCGGGAGGACTTTAACAAGAATTTAACAAAATAACCACCTTAAAACAATTATTTGTTTGCTCGAAATTATAGTAAAGGTATGTCTCAGTTGAACTTTTCCTTAATAAATGCACTTTATTGGTCAAATCAACCGCATTTCAAAAGCCGATTTGCAGAAGCGGGAGGGCACAGAGGGAGGACTCGCTGTACATTTCTTCGAAATTTAACAAGATAGCCACCTTAAAACAATTATTTGTTTGCTTGACATTTTAGTAAAGGTGTCTCTCAGTTTAACTTTTCCTTAATAAAAGGACTTTAATGATCAAATCAGCTGCATTTCACCTGGGTGGCGCAGCAAAATGCAGCTGATTTGACGTTTGCTCCAGGAGTTCCGGAGCGAGACGAAAGTGGCTTGGTATGGCAAACCTAGTGTCTCGTTAATAGCCACTTTTACCTTTTAATGAGACACTTGGCTTGCCATATTAGTCGAGAGCCCTCTAGTGGCTGAAAATGGTAGTGTTCAATATTTTCCATGTCTGAATGAACGAGATCATCAGATCTCAGCCAAAAACTAAGTTTTAAATATGGGGGGAACATAAATATGTTGCTTCGCTGCATAAGTTGCAGGCATGCTAATTTATGCAAAAAACTACGACTTATACAGCAAAATATATGGTAGCTGTAGATGGATATCCAATGATTGCTTTCTTAAATGTGTATTAAATTCATCTAGTGGTTTGTGATATATTTGGCTAACAGACAGACTGTTGACTGCAAAACTAAATGGCAAAATCTTTTAAACAGATCTCACACAATCAGTCAGTTCTGGGAGTATAGGGTGGGTATCAATCCCAGCTACTAACACACTACGTTGTACTTTAAATTCCTTAAAACTGACTGAGTTAAAGCCAGTTCTGTGTTTTCTGAAGTGACATAACTAATTGGGTCGACTCCAAAAGTTAACCAGTTGTAAACATAAATCAAATGATTACCTTTAGAGAGCTTCAATAAAATCCAGTAATTCATGAGTGATTTGGCTAAAGTTACAGACAAATGTACATGCAGACACATATCTTGCACTTTCAACAGTGGGTAATCATAAATTATGTATTTTTGAACTAAAAGGTGTTTTCTGTAGCGTAGCTGTACATTTCCTGGGATCTTCTTGTTCTGCTTGCTTTCATCCTGGAATGATGTATTAGTCATTAGATCCCATGCTTACTTTATGTCCTCCACAGATTGTGTCATGAGTCATATATACTAAAATTAAACTGCACCCATGAAATGATCATGTTTGGTTCAGGTTTTCTCAGAAACCGAGCCGTTTGCTGTAACCAGTTCTAACTCGCTGCCTTCAAGTATCTAAATACGGTTTGTTCAAAGTAAAAGAAAAGAACAAAGATGTGCATCTGAAATCCTCATCATTAATATCTGAGGGAGCAAAAGCAAGACAATAAGAAACTTTACTGCTGAGGTTTTAGCTGTAATTTGATCAATACCAGTACTTATAGTCATTTTCATCTGTTTTGATGCTCCTATTGTTCTCTGTCTCTGATGAAAAAATCAATTTCTGCATTACTTGTCCTTGGCATGATGAGTATTTTATTTCATCCCAGTTGATAGTCCCTAATTGTCATTAAGTAGATCTCGATCCTCACAATAGGTACAGATAAACGAGATGAAACTGATGGACATTTTCTCTCATGCTCATGCAATGACTTTTATCTGCAGGCATTACAGTGGATAAGTATGGTGTCCTGTTCTTCGTGGATGGGACCATGATTCGCAGGATTGATCAGAATGGTATCATCTCTACTCTTTTGGGCTTCAACGACTTAACCTCTGCTCGACCTCTTAGCTGTGATGCTGTGATGGACATCTCCCAGGTATGACCTCTGCCGTCTGAGTTTTTCTCTTTCACTCAAGATACTATATGTTTAAACTCAGTATATGAAGTAAATACGCAATGCACAGGACCATTTTTGAAACTTTGAAGAGAACATGACTTTAAAAGCATAAAGAGTTTTTATAATATGCTTTAGACTAGCTTTTATTGTTAAAGACAGCTCCTGTGCGTCTACATGAAATCTTTAGGAGTAACAGTACTAAATTTAGGATTGTTACAGAAATAGTCTTAGCAGACTATTTTTTATATTTGTGTCATCTTGACTTCTTCACTAATTGATACATTATTTGTGTGCGTGATCAAATTGTGCTTTTAGATTAAATAAAAATGGAACAGCAAAGTTATACTTTATGATAAAAAATAAATTGTGCTTTGTTTAGTTTTTTACAAAAAGACCAAAACATAAAAACTTTTTTGAGGGGTGGCAAGTTCCGAAGTTAAGAAGCTAAAACTGGATATTTAAAGTCAAAACATGAAGAACAGACGCTAAATGAGCAAAATGTCAGCTAAAAGCTAAAACATGTCATAAGAAAACTAATATTGAGCACCTAAAGCATATTTCAATTCTATTCAGTTTATTTATGTAGCGCCAAGTCACAACAGAAGTCATCTCAGGGCACTGTACAAAAGCATTCACATACATAATAAAAACTATTATTAAAAGTTGTGTATTTAAGGAAGCAGCAGATTGTGTCGAATCTTCACTTCGTCGCAGTCGCCCATCCTGAGCAAGAACAAAGGCAACAGTGGAAAGGAAAAACTCCTTTTTAACAGGAAGAAACCTCCAGCAGAACCAGGCTCAGGACAAGCGGACATCTGCTTAGACCGGCTGCGGTTTGAAAGGACAGGAAGGAGAACTTAACAAAACCAAAATGGCAGGTCCAGGTGTAGGTGCAGGTGTACCCCCTATTGGAAGAAAGACAATACACACATGTCAAGGATAGAAATAATTACACATAATGAATGAAAACGGTCATATCTCAGCCAAACATTGGTTTATAAATATGGGGGAAAAAATCCATAAATACATCGCTTCAGCGTATAAGTCGCAGGGTATGCAAATTATGCAAAAAACTTGTGTGACATAGGGTGAAAAGTACGGTACTTACCGCATGCCATGTCTGCGTTTCCTTGAATTTTGTTAAATTGCAGGTCTTGCTGCCATGTAAGCCTTTGCCTTGTTCATTGGTCCCACCACCAAAACTGTGACAGTTAAATTAAATAAAATCTTACCTTATAATATTTCTTTTCATCATAATTTCAGTCTTTTTGGCAGATTGAGTGATTCCTGCCTTTAAACAACCATTGATAGACGCTTCACAGTTCATCATTGCAACTTTTTTAGGGTATTTTTGAGTCGTGCTGATGTGCTTTACAGCTGTTTCATATTTAAACGTCACAGTTGTCTCATGGTGCTTTGTGTCCACGCGAATGAATCCTTGCCTCTTTAATATCACCTGCTGATTCAATGTAACATTCTCTATAGGAGAGTCTGCTCATTTCTTTCAAGAAATTCACCAGGAGTTCAAAGGAAGCAACATAACGTGTGGAGCTGCTTTCTGAAACGCCACAGGACATCTGGCATTCTTATGTGGACCGTTCTACTGCTGTAAACATGCAGGAGCTCTTTGTTATCTCGTGCAGGACACACGCTGACACAGATTATCGCTCCCTCCTGGTGTTTACTAATATAATTATTTACAATGACTGAAAACAGAGGGAACAAAGCTCCAAGTTGTACGGTTTAGATGCAATTTACTGGTTGAAAATGGTCCCAGTATGCAGTATGGAGCCCAGAGAAAGACTATAAATTGATAAAATGCTAAGTTAGCTTGATGTTGGGGATAAACAGTTGTGTCGGCAGCAGCTCAGTGAAGTTGTGACTCAGCTGCAGGAGACAAATACGGCACCGCGGGCAACGATTTATTAATTATTGCTAATGAGTTTCTAATTGGGTACAAAATGTTAGTATTGATTGATATCTTGATATCAGTAGGATACTTCCATCTCTTGTGAACTCTTGTTTTGTTTTTTTGCTGCTCAGGCAGTCACTTTTTTGTTTTAGTGGAAAATGGGGAAACTTTATCAAAGCTTTAATGTTCACCAACTAATCAGAGTGACAGTTAGACACTTATAGTTCCTTTATTATTATTTATTATTGTTATTTATTTATGTCTATAGTGCCAATTCACCACAGAAGTCATCTCAGGGCACTGAACAGAAATATTAATATATAAAATAAGTTAACAGAAACATTCATATTTAAAAATAATAATTTAACATTATTTATCTGAGGAGCAGACTGCTTTGAGTTTAACTCCATTGCAGAATAATAAAATAAAATAATAATAATTATTATTATATTCTCACATACTTTTGGGATCTGACTTTCAGTGTTCAAACTATTCTCATGTTTTCATTAGAGGCCCAAGATTATAAGTCTATTTTAACTTTTGAGCATTATGGTTAACAAGGTTTGTATTTCAAATGTGATGTAGTAAGAAACTTGGCTTGATTGGTAAGTGATGATGCAGTTAGCTCAGGTTCATTTGGAATAGATTTTTTTATCTTTTAAAACATTTTTTATGACAGAAAAAAGATTTATAGGCCTACCAGGCCCTGAAGCAATCCATATATGTCAAATCAGCAAATTATTACTGCTTTGCTGTGGCGGCCAACTTGATTCAGATTCTCTCAAACGATAGTCAATGGCAGGTCAAACCAAATTTTTTTCAGGATCTCAGGTATTTCCTTAATGGTAGAGACAAACAAACTCATATGCACAAGCGTCCAAACATTATCACTCCACCTTCGGCAGCAGGCGATAAAACTAGAAGTCCCCAAAGCAAGTTCTTTAATAATATTTTGTTGTGATAAAGCAGTCAGTGTGACTAAAATGTAAATGCATAGATTAATAAAATATACAGTATCCTGGGATCACATTCTGATAAACTCTTAATTCTGTGCTAATCTTTTTAAAACCTATTTCAGCCAGCTGTGGGGGTGTCAGACCTTTTCTCTTGTGAATCATGGTCATAATGATCTCATAAAGATGTAGAAACTCATAACCTCTGAAACAAACACCAGTGTGCTTGACAATTTATAAAGTGTAAAATATAACCAGGTTAAACATAAAAAGTCGATACAGGCATTAAATTAAACTCGGTGCTGGCTGGGGAACCTAGCTGACTTTCTTTGTATGTTTTCAAGTAGAACCAGCAAACAGGACCTGTGGTGTCTCAGATGAAACTAGAGTGAATGGATTTTTTTGTTGTTGTTGTTGTTTTTGTCTGTTTATAAAAATTTATGTATTCTGTGAAGAAAGCAAAGCTTCCAGCTGCCCGTTTTCAGCACCCAGGGGAACTCCATGCCCATCACGACCCCTGCTTGCTGCTCCCCTACCTTCCCACACACAAGCGCCTATAGATGTTCACCATCCCAGGTCTGCAGCCGCGAGGGTGCAGGCAGGCTAACTGGAGCTCCACAATGATGACAAATCACACAAGCATTGCCAGAGACACTCAGACAGTAAAAAGCATCCATTAAAAATTCATCCAAAGCACATAGCCTCCTACTTCAAACACTCCCCAACCCCTCGCTTGGAAATAGTTTCTCTGGAGAAGGCTCATGACAGTGGTCATTACTTTTGCTGTACCACACCTGATTTAAACAAGGAATAGTGTCAGATTTATTACATCTCTGATAAGATTGTTGTTATCTCACTGTGCTGATCAAGCAGCTGCAAAACTCACTCTTACCATAATTTCTGCTGTACATGTCGCATCAGTCCAAATATGTCTAAAAAAGTGGAAAAAGCCATAAATATGTCACTTCACCATATACGTTGCATCTATTATGCGTCACAGCTGATGCGTCGCATTTTTTACGCATCACCGCTGACAACCTGGAAATGTGGGCCGATGTTGTGCCAAAAATTGGTGGGTAGCCAAATGGCGGCCGCGGGAGCGTACACGGGCGGACTTTTAACAAGAATTGAACAAGATTAACACTTGTTAATAGTTTGACTTGCTCCAAGCAGCAAGCAGAACGAAAGTGGGAGGACTGTGGCAAGCTGATTGTGTCATTAATAGCTGGTGAAGATTCTCAGTCATACAGGACATGGTAAATTCAAAAGAGTTCAAGACAAAAACAATAAAGTATAATAAATGGTCCAGTTATTTTTGTCTTGAACTTTTTTGAATTTGTAATTATAGCCACGTGTACCTATTACATGATACAACGACATTCCATAGTGCTACTACTACTACTCTTCTGCCATATAGTGGCTGAAAGTGCTATGGTTCCTTTTTTTTCAGGCAGAATGAATGAAAACAGTCATATCTCAGCCAAAAATTGGTTTATAAATATGGGGAAAAAAAATCCATAAATACCTCGCTTTGGCCTATAAGTCGCAGGGCATATAAATTATGCACAAAAAAAGAAAACAGGACTTATAAGTAACTTAATGCACCATCTTCTAATCTTGCTGTAGCTTTTTTTTTTTTTTTTTTGGCTCTCTTCCAAAAAGATTTGAGCTCGTTCAAGAATGTTTATTTGTTTACACAATGCACTTGGGTCTTTATTGCTTTGCCTTTTCAATCTGCATCATTTCCGATTCCATTCCTGAATATCCCATTTGCACACCCTGCTGAGATCAAACTGACGTTGAGGAAAACCACGTCTTAAAAGCAGATCAGCTGAACATATTTCAGGGCTGTTAACGGCTTCAGAGAACTTTTTTAAGACTCTGACTGTGACTTTCAATTCATATTTGAGAAGAACTTCAAATAGTAACCTCTTACTCCTTCAGACGGACATCATGCGGGTTTGAGCAAAGAGAGAAGAGATTGCTAGGGAAAAAAAAGACATCATAGTCCTAATGTAAGCGCAGATATATTTAAAACTAGCTGTTGGTGCTAATCCATGATATACAGTCTCAGCTGACGAGCGTGTTTTGGGGGTTTTGTGTCGGTGGCAGCCATATCTGGGAGGCACTACAGTACTGACAGCTGCCCCACTGTATAAAGTGGAGGGTATGATCGTGTTACAGCTTGTGGGACAGCAGCTCAGGAAATATCCCCTCATCAGTCAAAGTGGCGTGAAAACCTCCTTACAGGCAGCTCCCCTGAGTCACTCCACACTTGGGCTCATGAAATATTTAACCACCAGTGTTGACAAGAAATAGGTTTTAAGAAATTGAAAGTCTCCCCTTCATTACCCAAGTAAATGCATTTTCCGCTCACTGAAAGCCGACATGTATCCACTGCCAGTCACCTGTTTGTTAGCTCTGGCCAGAAGATGGATCTTATTATATAAACCTCAGTTTTGTGGAGGATGATAGAAGGTTTTTGGGATATGAACAGTGTGATGCTTGAATTTGGTTTTCTATTTACTCGTAGCAAATTCCCACTCCATTTTTAAAGGATGGAAATGCTATCCTTCTCTTATAAATTGGGAAATTAAACATGTGCAGACAATAAATTTGAAAAGGTTGCTATTTGGCTGATTCTGAAAGCTGTTAGCTTTTAGCAACAAACTATTTGGTAACTAATGGACCAGGGTGCATTGTTCTGTGTCCTTGTAGAGTAACAGAACATATAAATGCAATAAATCAATTTTTCTCATTTCAGTTTAATTATAAATATATGTTTTCAGTTCATTATGAATTCGCTGTGGTTTTGTATACAGTTGGAGGAGTATTTTTACTGATTACGTTTTACTGAGATTAGATTTCAATCAACAATCTTTGTTGGAGCTCCACGTCATCCATTGAAATATGACACTTTATAGTGCGGTTCTAGGAGATCCCTGTGGGATAATAAGGGAGAAGGACACCAGTAAATGGGATTGATCCAATCATTTCAATTTGTTAAAGCCTGATTTATTGTCTGCGAAACAATAAGTTGTAATTTACTGTAGATAGCCAGGAACTATTTGTTTGTCTGAGTGACCTCATCTATTCTCAAGGACTCATGCAATCACATTACAAAAGCACAGGAAAAAAAAAAGATACTTTGTAAAAGTTAATGATGTCCTTTTTTTCCAACATGTCAGCCGTTCATATACAAGTAATCAGCTACATATTTTTTTCAGTTAATTTTATTAAATAAAATATTTTGTCATGCTGGTCTTATTAGCTATTGTACTATCTTCTTCTATCCATCCAGCCAATCACCATCATTCTGTGATTGAAACTGATCCTTTTTTCTATTTCCTTTTAGGTTCGCCTTGAGTGGCCCACAGACCTGGCAGTAAGTCCAATGGACAACTCGTTGTTCGTCCTGGACAACAATGTTGTGCTCCAGATCTCAGAGAACCATCAAGTCCGCATTGTGGCAGGCCGCCCCATGCACTGCCAAGTGCCTGGTATAGACCATTTTCTCATGAGTAAAGTGGCCATCCATGCAACCCTGGAGTCGGCGAACGCCCTGGCTGTTTCTCACAGTGGTGTTTTGTACATTGCGGAGTCAGATGAAAAGAAGATCAACAGAGTGCGACAGGTGTCCACCAATGGAGAGATTTCCCTGGTTGCAGGGGCACCAAGTGGGTGTGACTGCAAGAATGACGCCAACTGTGACTGTTACTCGGGTGATGGAGGCTATGCCAAGGATGCCAAACTCAATGCACCTTCATCCCTAGCAGTATGCCCAGATGGAGACCTTTACATTGCAGATCTTGGGAACATTCGTATCCGATACGTGCGGAAAAACAAACCTTTTCTAAATCCCCTCAGCATGTATGAGGTATCATCTCCCATTAATGATGAACTCTATCTATTTGACTCCAATGGTAGCCATATTTTTACGCAGAGTCTGACTACAGGAGACCACCTCTATAATTTGACATACTCTGGAGCAGGAGATTTAAGCAGTATCACCGATAAGAACAAAAACACTGTGCTCATTCGACGAGACACCACTGGAATGCCTCTGTGGCTGATGGTCCCTGATGGACAGACCTTTTGGTTCACCATTGGTACCAACAACGCCCTTAAAACTGTTGCTGCCCAGGGTCAAGAACTTGCGGTAATGACCTACCATGGAAGTTCAGGACTACTTGCTTCGAAGACAAATGAAAATGGATGGACAACTTTCTTTGAGTAAGTAATATAAAGAAATGTTTGCTAAACCTCTTATTTAAATCTGTATACACAAAGGAAGGGCCGCCAGTTGATCGGACAGCTCTATTGCCCCAAGTTTCAACAGTTAAACAGTTAAGGCTAAATCTGTTGATATGTTGTTATGCTTTTTTATTGAGTGCAATGACAGAAACTCTCTACCTGATAAAATATGAGCAGTATCAAGGAAATCAAATACTTAAATATAAATTACCCTGCTATTCTGTATTTCCTGATGTTTCATGTACATGTATCTGTGACCAGTATTTGTGGGTTAGAAGCTAAAAAGTTTGAAAACCTCCAATCTAAAGTAAAAGTTTTGCATTTGTTGTGTCATATAACGCTAAGATGATGTAATGAGTTAATGTTCAGAGTGGGGCATCTGGTGAAAGAGAGATGTGTTTTTTTGGAATATGAGTTTCCCTCTTATGGCTGAATGACAAGTCAGTAAAAATACAAGACCTGTGGAAGTATCTGTGTAATCCTATTTGCTGTTATCATACTAAATAGGATTACTGGGTGATATGTTACTCATCTGTACCCTTGCTTTCAGTAACAGACTGCAGACCCTCAATTGTCTGGAGTTGTTGGGTGAAAAAACAAGATATATCTACTGGAAAGAAGATTTTTACCCATAGGGCTGCGTAGGCGCATTAATACAAGCATAATAGAATAGCCAGAGGTAGTAATTGACTGAGGCGAACCACACATTGAGAGGGAACAATTGAAAGCACTCCCACACTCGTCAGCGTATGAGTGTTGGATTTCATGCTCATGTGACTTGTGTTGAGCAGTCCGTCCCTTCTTCTAATTTCACGTACCAGGGAAACTATGTGAACTGGATGTCGTTTGAAAAGGTGTGATTAAGCAGATTTTCTGGTGATACATCTGTTACACCTCACTGTAAGAATACAAGTCATACACGTCATCAGGTGGTTCGTTTAAAGTGCACCTTTGTTTGTTTGTTTTGTGCCTCCATTGAAAAGAGAAAAGAGTAATGCAGCCATAAAGAGGAATTTTTAATTAGCTTTGGCCAAAATGATCATTGAGTGGAATTTTTGACTTTTTTTTTCTTTATCTATCGTTAAAGTAGCTCCTGTTATTAGGTTT